CATCAATAATGCTGTCTAAAACTCAATAACTCTATAATCAATAACAGCACATGATCAATAATGCTGTCTAAAACTCAATAACTCTATAATCAATAACAGCACATGATCAGTAATGCTGTCTGGAACCTCAATAACTCTATAATCAATAACAGCACATCATCAATAATGCTGTCTGAAACTCAATAACTCTATAATCAATAACAGCACATGATCAATAATCAATAACAGCACATCATCAATAATGCTGTCTGAAACTCAATAACTCTATAATCAATAACAGCACATCATCAATAATGCTGTCTAAAACTCAATAACTCTATAATCAATAACAGCACATGATCAGTAATGCTGTCTGGAACCTCAATAACTCTATAATCAATAACAGCACATGATCAATAATGCTGTCTGGAACCTCAATAACTCTATAATCAATAACAGCACATCATCAATAATGCTGTCTAAAACTCAATAACTCTATAATCAATAACAGCACATCATCAATAATGCTGTCTGAAACTCAATAACTCTATAATCAATAACAGCACATGATCAATAATGCTGTCTGGAAACTCAATAACTCTATAATCAATAACAGCACATCATCAATAATGCTGTCTGAAACTCAATAACTCTATAATCAATAACAGCACATCATCAATAATGCTGTCTGGAAAATCAATAACTCTATAATCAATAACAGCACATGATCAATAATGCTGTCTGGAACCTCAATAACTCTATAATCAATAACAGCACATCATCAATAATGCTGTCTGAAAACTCAATAACTCTATAATCAATAACAGCACATGATCAATAATGCTGTCTAAAACTCAATAACTCTATAATCAATAACAGCACATGATCAATAATGCTGTCTGGAACCTCAATAACTCTATAATCAATAACAGCACATCATCTATAATGCTGTTATTGATTATAGAGTTATTGATTTTCCAGACAGCATTATTAATGATGTGCTGTTATTGATTATAGAGTTATTGAGTTTCCAGACAGCATTATTGATGATGTGCTGTTATTGATTATAGAGTTATTGAGTTTTAGACAGCATTATTGATGATGTGCTGTTATTGATTATAGAGTTATTGAGTTTCAGACAGCATTATTGATGATGTGCTGTTATTGATTATAGAGTTATTGAGTTTCCAGACAGCATTATTGATGATGTGCTGTTATTGATTATAGAGTTATTGAGTTTCCAGACAGCATTATTGATGATGTGCTGTTATTGATTATAGAGTTATTGAGTTTCAGACAGCATTATTGATGATGTGCTGTTATTGATTATAGAGTTATTGAGTTTCCAGACAGCATTATTGATCATGTGCTGTTATTGATTATAGAGTTATTGATTTTCCAGACAGCATTATTGATGATGTGCTGTTATTGATTATAGAGTTATTGAGTTTCAGACAGCATTATTGATGATGTGCTGTTATTGATTATAGAGTTATTGAGTTTCCAGACAGCATTATTGATGATGTGCTGTTATTGATTATAGAGTTATTGAGTTTCAGACAGCATTATTGATGATGTGCTGTTATTGATTATAGAGTTATTGAGTTTCCAGACAGCATTATTGATGATGTGCTTTTATTGATTATAGAGTTATTGAGTTTCAGACAGCATTATTGATGATGTGCTGTTATTGATTATAGAGTTATTGATTTTCCAGACAGCATTATTGATGATGTGCTGTTATTGATTATTGATGATGTGCTGTTATTGATTATAGAGTTATTGAGTTTCAGACAGAATTATTGATGATGTGCTGTTATTGATTATAGAGTTATTGAGGTTCCAGACAGCATTATTGATGATGTGCTGTTATTGATTATAGAGTTATTGAGGTTCCAGACAGCATTATTGATGATGTGCTGTTATTGATTATAGAGTTATTGAGTTTCAGACAGCATTATTGATGATGTGCTGTTATTGATTATAGAGTTATTGAGGTTCCAGACAGCATTATTGATGATGTGCTGTTATTGATTATAGAGTTATTGAGTTTCCAGACAGCATTATTGATGATGTGCTGTTATTGATTATAGAGTTATTGAGGTTCCAGACAGCATTATTGATGATGTGCTGTTATTGATTATAGAGTTATTGAGGTTCCAGACAGCATTATTGATCATGTGCTGTTATTGATTATAGAGTTATTGAGTTTCCAGACAGCATTATTGATCATGTGCTGTTATTGATTATAGAGTTATTGAGTTTCAGACAGCATTATTGATGATGTGCTGTTATTGATTATAGAGTTATTGAGTTTCCAGACAGCATTATTGATCATGTGCTGTTATTGATTATAGAGTTATTGAGTTTCCAGACAGCATTATTGATGATGTGCTGTTATTGATTATAGAGTTATTGAGTTTCCAGACAGCATTATTGATGATGTGCTGTTATTGATTATAGAGTTATTGAGTTTCCAGACAGCATTATTGATGATGTGCTGTTATTGATTATAGAGTTATTGAGTTTCAGACAGCATTATTGATCATATGCTGTTATTGATTATTGAGTTATTGACACATGATCAATAATGCTGTCTGGAAACACGGCATGAACTCTATTGACGTCTTACAGAATCATGGTTTCTCGCACGTTTGAATAAGAAGTGGTGCTTTATTTCATTAATATATTTCCTGCAAATATTTTAATTTAAAGTACACTATAAGTGCACATTCAATACAATTAAACACACTCACTTTCCCATTGGCAGTCATGCCAGTGTTTGGGTTTTTTGTTATATTTTTATTCTTTATAGAAGTAATTTAGGTCATATTAGGAGTAGTTGTCAGGGGTTATACCTGGTGAATCATGTCAGCCGGTGGTGTTTTACTATAGTAAAGTGTTGATGGCCTGTAGTGTTTCTTAGGTCTCGCTGTGGAGTCGGTGAATCTGCTGTGTTTGTGAAAGTTTGCTGGCGGCCGTCGATCCCCAGGGTTATTTTTAGCTTGTGGATGATGAATCTGTGTGTGTGAGACACACACACACACACACACACAGAGAATAGTTGGACTCAGTTGTGTTGTTGATGATGAATGAGTCGTATCGCCTGAAGCTCTCGCTGTGAACGAGTTCATATTAATCTATAAATCATCTCTCTTAGCTTCATGGCTGATGACTTAAACACTATCATCACTGGATTGGTTTTACTACGATTCTGTTTCAAACCTTTGAAAGATATTAGAGTTAGTTTGAGGCACGCAGTGTCAGGTCAAGCTCTTCATAAGAACAAGTCTTTTTTGTTTATTTCTGTCATATTACTTTTGTTTAGACTGTGATTTTGCTCATTTTAAATCTGGAGTATTTTATGATTAGTTCACTTTCATTCGGTATAATCGGTTTATAAACGCATGTTTCTTCAATGTCGATCAGATGTTCTCTTCCTGCTTCTGAGTGAGTTCTGGTCCAGAACATGTTTCAATAACAACCAGGTGTCTGTGAGAAATATTAGATTACATATTAGAGAACAACAACAGCCAAAAGTCTTGAGTTTGCTTTAGTGAGTTCACGTGGTTCGTTGAAGAACCGCTCCAGTTGATTCAGTGAGTCATTTAACTGATTCAAAGCAGTGATTCACTGTTATAAGAGTTCAGAATCAAACTGAGAATTATCGGTCATTCGGTTATTAAATCACACTGTGTTGGTGTCTGTAATTATTAATCATGTTGCACGTTTGTGTTTGTATTATTGACACCTATGAAACTGAAAACCGTTTATATGTTTATCACTGGTTTGTTTCGCATCTCTGTGTGTATTCAGCACAGGACACTGAGCATTCTGAAGAACTCGACGGAACTTTATGAACATTCCAGAATTCCATTTTGATTTTAAAACGGAACATTTTCAAAACTTTGTCTCTTTTTTTTCAAAACTTTACACACAAATCCAAGAATTGCACAAAATGCAAAAATGCCTCGCATCTCTTGCTAAATGAAGCACTGCATCAAAACATCACACACATCTCAGAAGCAAACATTTGTCTTACGTTGCAAACACCTTTGACATAATATTATATTTCTGGATATATCATACACACACACAGTTATTCAGAACCTAAAGCTCTTCTTTCATGACATATCTGTACAAGGTTGAAAGTAACTCTCAGAGATGTTGAAAAACTCACGGTGAACACGAAAGCAAGATTGAAACCAAATTATTTATGTTTTTACTGTAAGCGTTTGTGGTTATGAATATAGTATTACACAGTCCGAGACACCTATAACTCGACCTTTGACCTGTTATAGGCCTATGACTGATTGGTGTTCAGTAAAGCAATGAGTGTTTGTGTGTGTAAGGATTGTGTGTGTGGAGTGTGTGTAAGGATTGTGTGTGAGGATTGTGTGTGAGGAGTGTTTGTGTGTGAGGACTGTTTGTGTGTGAGGAGTGTTTGTGTGTGTGTGTGTGTGTGTGTGTGTGTGTAAGGAGTATGTGTGAGGCTCTGATGAATTTCTGTGGCGTTTTGACATTTGTGTTTGAAAAAGGAAATCAAGATTCTTCCTGGTAGATTTGTGTGTGTTTCATAGAGAGCAGATTTCATGCAGATTTGGTGTGTTACTGGTGTTTAAGGTGTCAGGTTTCAGAAATTGTGTGACAAGCAAGAATATTCTCTCTCTCTCTCTCTCTCTCTCTCTCTCTCTCTCTCTCTCTCTCTCTCTCTCTCTCTCTCTCTCTCTCTCTCTCTCTCTCTCTCTCTCTCTCTCTCTCTCTCTCTCTCTCTCTCTCTCTCTCTCTCTCTCTCTCTCTCTCTCTCTCTCTCTCTCTCTCTCTCTCTCTCTCTATGTTAATTTGTTCTTGCAGTAATTTCTAATTAAGATGAGTAAAACCCAGCAGAGTCGTGATTGTCCCGCTGGAATACAGACGCACGTGTCTGTGTGTGTGTGTGTGTGTGTGTGTGTGTGTGTGTGTGTGTGTGTTCTCAGTATTGTTATGTGGCTGTTTTTGCCGCAGTGATTATGATTATGATTTTCCTCTGTTTTGTGTTTCAGGACAGTGTATCCGATCACCATGACGACTGAAATGCAGGAGATCGCCATCACAGAGGAGAAGCCTTTACTGCCGGGTCAATCCGACGCTGTGAAGGTAACACACACACACACACACACACACACACACACACACACACACACACACACACACACACACACACACACTCGTCTGCCACCTGCTGCACGTTTGAAGAACTTCATCATCAGATCTGTTGTAATGCAGTGGATCATGATTATGAATAACTGATGCGAGTCTGTTAAACGCAACACTTCTGCAGCATTTTATTTATTCATTCTTTTCTGTCATTTTTTATTGTTTTAATATATTTTAAATAAATTTTTATCCTAATTTTTATTTATTTTCACAGTTTTATAAAAAAAAAAATATGTATATATAGAAAGCTCTTTTAAATACCATTGTCTACACAAAATGTGCAATATACTTGATAAATATGTTAAATATGACTCATGCTGTGGTTTAGCTGTCTATATATTGTAGTTGTGTTTGTCAGCTGAAGCCCTGTAGATTCACTAGGCTAATGGTAATGATTTGTATAATGGATAACTGGATGAGTGTCAGTTAAACACAACATCTCTCCAGTTCATCATTAATGCACTAAATGGTTATATTCAGTTATGAGCGGTGTGTAACAGTAACAGTGTTTATGTGAGCGCTGATGTCCAGATTGTGTGTTTAGAGACCGCTGTGTTTTTGTGTGCAGGACGTGGAGATCGCGGCCCGAATGCTGCTGGATCAAGGCCAGGTGTGTTAAAGTGTGCCGGACACTCAGTGTGTGTTTGTGTGGTTGACTGATCACTGGTGTGTTAAAGTGTGCCGGACACTCAGTGTGTGTTTGTGTGGTTGACTGATCACTGGTGTGTTAAAACACTCGTCCTTCCCTCGGGTCATTTAGAAAAACTGTGTTCATTCATTGAGAGTTCATCTCACACACACACACACACACACACACACACACACACACACACACACACACACACACACACACACACACACACACACAAATGGATTCGGGGAGTTTTGTGCTTGAAATTTAAAAAAAGTATTTCAAAATTCAAACTAAAAATGATTAAAACTTTACAAAAAAGTTATTTTATAATGTCTACATGTGTATCTGAATGCATATCGAAGAGAAACTGACTTTAGGACCCAGAGGAACAGCTCCTCTGCTGCATATAGAGATATAAGGCCATCAAGAGTTATGAAATATCATGTTATATTATTTTTCGGAGGTCGGCAAAGACTCCCAATGTAAGATATGTAGAGCTGAATTAAAAGGGTTATGCATGAAATTATTTTGAATTTAAGTTGAAAGAATGTGAGGAATGTACTTATATTACTATTTATGTATTATTTATTGATCAAATCTAGTAATTTAAAGGTAAATAAAATAAAAAAATAACAAAAAATCTCCCCCAAAAAATGCATTAAAAATAGAAAAAATATTATCAAAAATATTATCAAAAAAAAAAAAAAAAATGGACAAAAAAAAGAAAAAAAAAAGGTATAATTTGAGGGCTTCGGGTCATTTTGACCCGCGAGGGAAAGGTGTGTTACAAAGTGTGAGGGACGGATGAGAGTTTTCAACACCATTCACAAGTTGTTACTATCTTTAGTGTGAATTTGCATGCAGAATAATAATCAAAATGTTGTTAAAATGAGGTTTATATGTAGTTTAGCATGTCACACTGCTTGAGATGTCATGCCAGCTACCCATTATTAATTATCTTTCATTATGAATGCACAAGTGCTGTTTTATCAAGTGTGTGTGTGTGTGTGTGTGTGTGTGTGTGCAGGAGCACAGTGTGGAGACGCCTCACGGAGTGCTTCATGTGACGGTTCACGGCGCCGGGAACGCTCGCAGACCCGCCATACTGACCATACATGATGCAGGAATGGACAGTAAGTCTCTCTCACACACACACTGACTCACACATCACAAGTCACGCGAGTTATGTCATCAGATTACTCTTTCCAAGTAACCAGTAAAGTAACAGATTACTTTTAAATTTACACAAAATTTAAACAAAATATTTAGCTACTTTTTCAAATAAGTAACGCAAGTTACTTTGTTTTCATACTTATTGACTGACAGCTCCAGTCCTCATGTTGAGAGAAATCCGAAGTTGCGTTGGTTATTGATGTTCTAGACTAAATGTTCTTGACTAAAGGTTCTAGACTAAATGTTCTTGACTAAATGTTCTAGACTAAATGTTCTTGACTAAAGGTTCTAGACTAAATGTTCAAAACTAAATATTCTAGACTAAATGTTCTAGTCTAAATGTTCTAGACTAAATGTTCTAGTCTTAATGTTCTAGACTAAATTTTCTAGACTAAATGTCCAAGACTAAATGTTCTAGACTAAATGTTCTAGACTAAATGTTCTAGACTAAATGTTCTAGACTAAATGTTCAAAACTAAATGTTCAAAACTAAATATTCTAGACTAAATGTTCTAGACTAAATGTCCAAGACTAAATGTTCTAGACTAAATATGCAAAACTAAATATTCTAGACTAAATGTTCTAGACTAAATGTTCTAGACTAAATGTTCTAGACTAAATGTTCAAGACTAAATGTTCTAGACTAAATGTTCAAGACTAAATGTTCAAGACTAAATGTTCTTGACTAAAGGTTCTAGACTAAATGTTCAAAACTAAATATTCTAGACTAAATGTTCTAGACTAAATGTTCTAGACTAAATGTTCAAAACTAAATGTTCAAAACTAAATATTCTAGACTAAATGTTCTAGACTAAATGTCCAAGACTAAATGTTCTAGACTAAATATGCAAAACTAAATATTCTAGACTAAATGTTCTAGACTAAATGTTCTAGACTAAATGTTCTAGACTAAATGTTCAAGACTAAATGTTCTAGACTAAATGTTCAAGACTAAATGTTCAAGACTAAATGTTCTAGACTAAAAGTGCAAAACTAAATATTCTAGACTAAATGTTCTAGACTAAATGTTCTAGACTAAATGTTCTAGACTAAATGTTCTAGACTAAATGTTCAAGACTAAATGTTCTAGACTAAATGTTCTAGACTAAATGTTCTAGACTAAAAGTGCAAAACTAAATATTCTAGACTAAATATTCTAGACTAAATGTTCAAGACTAAATGTTCAAGACTAAATGTTCTAGACTAAAAGTGCAAAACTAAATATTCTAGACTAAATGTTCTAGACTAAATATTCTAGACTAAATGTTCTAGACTAAATGTTCTAGACTAAATGTTCAAGACTAAATGTTCTAGACTAAAAGTGCAAAACTAAATATTCTAGACTAAATGTTCTAGACTAAATGTTCAAGACTAAATGTTCAAAACTAAATGTTCTAGACTAAATGTTCAAGACTAAATGTTCTTGACTAAAGGTTCTAGACTAAATGTTCAAAACTAAATGTTCTAGACTAAATGTTCAAGACTAAATATTCTAGACTAAATGTTCAAGACTAAATATTCTAGACTAAATGTTCTAGACTAAATGTTCAAAACTAAATGTTCTAGACTAAATGTTCAAGACTAAATGTCAGCATGCAAATACTCATCTCACTCTCACCAAACCAGATTCAGTATTCCTCAAAATGATTTAAAACGATGAAATGCAAACTTAGAATATTAAGCAAACCTGCAATAATTGTATGTTAAATAACACAAATATACTTTATGCATTTAATTTGACTAATATAAACTCATTTTATTGACCAATTCAACCATGCTAATTAGAAAAAATGACTTTAGATAAACATCATATTTGTGTTTCTTTGGTTTGTTTGTTTTATTGCTATTGTTTATTGCTATATTTATCCACACGGTTTTAAAAAAACAACTTTTTTATGCATTTTGGCCTGAAAGCGCAAACTTTTGAAAGCGTGATTCAGAGTGCAAGTTTTTGAAACCGATACTGTGATCGTCTCTGTGTAAACTACAAAAAATGTGAATTTGTGAAAATGGTGCTTGTGTGTGTCTATACCTTTCTTTACAAAGTGACATCGCCACCTACTGGCCTGGCATGAAAAATGCAGCGTTTTTAATCGCTTTCGCGGATCCGTTGAGCGGGGATCCTTTTGACAACGTTGTGGTCTGTACGCAAACACAAGTATAAAAGTATACACTTTTCTGTTTTTAATACATCATTGTGGTGTAAACGTACCCTGAAAGGTTTGTTTGAGCGGCGCCCTCTACTGTACAGGAGTGAATGTGCATTTCCTTCAGCCTGAGGATTATTCACTTCACTTTCGCTGTGAAAGAGCTTTTACATTGGCCAATAATTGAACTTTGTTTTTAAAATACAAACAATCAAGCCAGCAAAACGTTTTATTTTTAAAACAAATAACACAACTTTGGTTTATGCAACAAAAAAAAAAAAAAAAACATTTCCATAGTTGTAGTTTTAAAGAATATACAAAAGCACACTTAATCACACTTGCAAATGATCCTGATTGAACACAGTTATAAACAGCAATCATTTCTTCAAACAAGCAAACATATACTGTAGATTTCAGGGATTTTTTTTGAAACATGATTGATTCACTGATATCAACAGATTCACCAATGGACACTTCTAATCAGGGTGTTTTTACTTTTTTACTTTTTGATGCCACTGACCCGTAAATATGATGCTCCCTTTGCGTTTCTTTTCAAACTTTAAGACTTTTCCTCTTATTCTCATCAAGGCTACCTTTATTTGAACAAAATACAGTAATGACGTGAAGTAAAGAACAGCATTTATTTGAAATAGAAATCTTTTCATTATAAATACCACTTTTGATCAATTTAATTCATCCTTGCTGAATAAAAGTATCAATTTCTTTTTTTTCTCTCTTTTAAATCTTACTTCTTACCAAACTTTTGATGCATACTGTATCAAAGTTTCCTAATAATATATATTAAGCGACAAAACGAGTTTTAACACCAATAATTGAGCATTAAATCAAATTATACTGATTTCTGAAGGATCATGTGACACTGAAGACTGGAGTAATGATGCTAACAATTCAGCTTTCATTTCATTTCAAAAACAGTTAATTTAAATTGTAATATTATTTCACAATTTTACAGTCTTTACTGTATTTTTTATTAAATAAACACAGCCTTGGTGAGCATGAAGATACTTCTTTCAGAAACATTAAAATGTAACATTTTACAATATTTTCTGGTAAAAAATATAAAATCTTTTAAGCTAACCGTAAAATATAATACAGTAACTGTGATTAATCTCATTACAGTAAGAATGAAACAGTAGGCTAACAATATTTTAAAAAATCTGTAAATGCTGTAAATCAAACAATTTAAAAGATAATGTCTTAAAGCAGAGTGACGACAGAAGTGAGGCATACACACATTCTTCCTCTAGATATGAGGTAATGTGCAGCGCTGACCCTGAAGTGACGGAGCCGTGTACACGATCCCTGCGAAGTGAACGGGGATACAGTGGGGGACTGGGATAGATTTGTTGACAGAAAACATTGCAACAGAGCACGCGACGATCACGTGAGCGATCTCGGTTTGGAGCTGAACTACACACCGTCCGTTTCTCAACACGCTCTGAACGATGAACACCCTGAACTTCCTCACGCTGACGCACAGGTTTCGGGAGTTTCTGACGCCTCCTCCGTGACAGATTCCCACAATGGCATTGCCGTCGTCCTTATGTACAAAAGCCTGGTGAGGATTTACGCCACAAAGATGCCTTTTCATCAGGTAATCGACCCAGGTGTGCTTCTGCGACGTGTCGAAATTATACAGGAGAATGTGTTGGTTGTAAAACACATGAAAAGCGTTTACATCGGAGGTTCCCCGACAGGGAGATGGCCAGCTGGAAGACATCTCGGGTGTGTCGGCGACGGATGTGACGTTAGTCAAGCCTTCACTGAACACCTGAGTCACGAGGAACACGAGGAGGAACACAGATCGCATCCTGAAAACACACACATGTTAAAGGGTTAGTTCACCCAAAAATGATAATTATGTCATTCATGACTCTCCCTCATGTCGCTCCAAGCCCGTCAGACCTCCGTTCATCTTCAGGACACAGTTTAAGATATTTTAGATTTAGTCCGAGAGCTTTCTGTCCCTCCATTGTAAGTGTGTGTACGGTATACTGTCCTTGTCCAGAAAGGCAATAAAGACATCTGATCTGATCTGAGTCTGAACTCGGCATAACCCACTGAACCCACCGTACATACATTTTCAATGGAGAGACAGAAAGCTCTCGGACTAAATCTAAAATATCTTAAACTGTGTCCTGAAGATGAACGGAGGTCTGACGGGCTTGGAACGACATGAGGGAGTCATTAATGACATAATTATCATTTTTGGGTGAACTAACCCTTTATTAAGAGAACAAACACAGGCTTTTCTACAATATAATAAAACTGTAAAGAGCAATTATGTGGCCAAACACATCAACAGCATTTGCATTGTGTGTTTAGGAATGATTACTTCACAGACTATGATGATATTCAACATTATTTATAGCTGAATAACTTTTGAAATATAATCTGAGGCAGTTTAGTTGAAGATTAGATAGACTTTGTTCAAGTTTCATAGTAATATTAAAAGATTTGAATGAATTTAGTTAAATAACTTTTGATTAAAAAAAAAAAAAAAAATTACCAGATCCAAATGTGTTAAATATCAGATTCAGTACTGCATTTGCATTGTGTATTTAGGAATGAATACTTAAAAGACTGATATTCAACATTATTAATAGCTTTATTATAAATAAATAAAAAACTAAAAAACATTTTTGTTGAAGATCGGACAGACTTTGTTACGAATAACAGTATGTGAATCAGTTTTTCAATTTTTTATTTTCAATTTTGATATTTTTAGGTCAAACCGTTCTTGTCTGTCAGTCATATAATGCAGGTCTATGGTCACCACCTCAAAGAGCAGC